GTCCCCTCAGAAGCAAAAATCACCCTTGGTTGAAATCCTCTGTGCAGAGTGCCTTTTTCATACAGAGCACCAAATATTTGTAGGAGAATGCATAGGTTGATGGAAACAAAATTCTCCAATGTACAAGCTGCAGAGAAATCAAGCTAACTTCTTTTGGTTTTATTGCCTTCTGTAATGCCTGGCATACAGCAGGTGCTCAATATATACCTGCTGTATGCCAGGGTGAACAGATGTTTAATGATTGTAAATGGCATCCTGTACCCCTGGTAAAATTTTTCCCCTCAAGAAGGCCCAGGTGAGGTGGTGAGGAACTGTCAATGATAGGGAGAGAAAATTTTAAAAAGAACAACAAAATCTCTTAGCTATGTGATTAGGGACCAGAAACATCACCCTGCAGAAAGGTGGGGCTGTACCCAGACTATTAGCTCTCTATTTAATTCAAGCACTTAGGGCAGAAATATATTATTTGTACTGGTAATATTTAAATCATTTACCAGTATACCTGGATCCTTTAGTGCACAACTTTCACAGGGCCGTGAAGCACCAGGAGGGTTGCAGGACATCCAGAAGGTCAAACATTGAGTCATTAGTGTCATTGCTGGGAATTGAGCCTGTGCCTTCCTGATTCTCTGTACAGTACTTGATTACACTGATTATTATGGATGAAAATTAAGACATCACTATTGTGAAATAACAATGCAGGTTAATGATATTCTTTATTGCCATGCTAACATTTTTTTTTCTAGAGGAGAAAATTATAGGCATGAAAGCAATTAAGCTACCTTTCTTTCTTTTAAAGCTTTTTTAGTTTTTCTCACTGCAGCTTCCCACTTAATAGTGAAAACTCATTTTTTGTTTCCTAGGTCTTACTGAGATAGATGCTAATATTGGTGCCGTCCATTGTCCCCCCACAAATTGAATATGACTATGCTAATATGTTATCTCACAAAGGGCAGTCATAAATAGGAAGAGCAAATATTTTGAAATGAATATTCAATGGACATTCTCCTGAAGAGGTTAGGCATTGCTGGAAGTGCCTCCCTTGAAAATCTTTTTCCAAGATTGCCCTTTCCCAGACACCACTGTAGGATGGCTCTCTTCCCTGGGTTGAAATGGTGGCTCCAGAATACAATGGCAGACTAATTTATGTGTTCCCCAAACTTTAAATAGTTGTCCTTTACTCCCAGGTCTACAAAATATCTGCCACAGAAACCTTTCACATAGGATATCATGTCACATGTATATTGTTAATGTAATTATGGTAACCAAAAAATACCACCAATGTGTCTGTTTCATACACAAATGAGGGGACAGCTGTGGAGTCCACATGTCTGCCAGTGGTATAATAGATGTGAGCTACGACAGCCTGGGTTGGAAAATTACAACTCGTTTATATTAATCAGAGCTTTCAAATAACACTCAACCTCTGAGCAATAAAGAGTGTAAATGGAAAGCAATAAGCAACTCTAAAAGCAGTTTTCACTCCACAGATTTAAAAACTAAGTGTCTTAAGCTGATACAGCAGCATCTTTAGAAGGTATTCTGAAGACAGAGTGGACAAGAACTTGGGAATGTATTATTCCAAGTTCCCTCCTGGCTTCTTTGCATCTCAGGGATGATTTTCAGTTCATTAGGTATAATGGTTCCATATAAATTAAATGTTTAATTGTGGTACTGGAAGCATGGCTTACAGAAACATTTTGGTAATCTCATTGATTATGGCAGCCTTATTCTCGCAACTCTATTATGTTACACATGACAAAAGTGAGGGTTGGTATGGAGTTAAACAAGATCCAAGATCATCCAGCTATGATTGGATAATAGCTTGTTAACCAACCAATCAACTGATAAAACTGTTAATAAAGCTCGACATTTGCCTAGAGCTTTGAAAACGTTCAAAAAGTAAAACATATAATAGTAGTAAGCTTGCATATTGTTTCTTTTAAAAAACTGTAACATTAAATAGTATGTATTTTAATTATTGGATAATATGCTTCACTAGTTCTACAGGGTACCCGTAAAGTCTGGAAACCTTTATCATTTTATCATGGATTACAATGCAATGTCAATAAACCATTTATCATCTATTTGTCTATATTTCAAAACTTGGAAAGCTACTTTCTATAATCTATAAAGTAGGTGAATGGTGATATGCTAAAACAAGAAATTAAAAAGCAAACTTCACTTAAAAAGACTTGTAGAACAAATGGATCCCTTGGTCACTAAATTGAATTTTACAGATATGGTTTAACTTTTGTCTCTATTCTGTACTTTGAGCCAAAACAAGAGAGAATAAATGTTTTTCTGACTTCATCTATATAATTATAATTTCATCCTGAATTAAATATTAATCAGAGCTCTATTCATGAGGTAAAGATACTTTCATTGTTCTCAGAAACATATGATTCTAAATGATCATATGATTCTAAAATGGAATTTGCTTTATCTCCAGAGTGGCTTAACCCAAAATAGATGTTTGACTTAATTTTAAAAAATCAAATACAATATTTGAATAACCTGACATATAGTGCTAAAATGAATCATTCGGAGAGCTATTATTCTGTTACTTAAAAATAAATTTTAAGTAAGCATTGTGAAAGTCTCATAAAAGTGACATCTGCATCCTATAATTTACCATATTTTATTTATGACTTATGGCCTACTTATGGTGATATAAAAAGCCCACCATTCTGATTATTTATCATCATTATTTGTATTCCACTGGCTTGAGATGCAGCAATATAACTCTGTAGAGATAGATATTCTTTAGTACCTAGTATATTCCCATGAGTGTCACTGCTTTAGAATATGTGGTAATAGCTCTAGCAGTTCAGGTCAAGAAGGTGGCCTTAGCACAGACTGACCAGAGAGAGATCAATGGTTGAGTTTTTCCTTGCTTTTTCAGAATTTCAGACATTAACCAGCGCTAGCTAAGGTTATTTTTCAGAACCACAGTCTGCAGGTGGATCTGGTCTTGAAATATTTAGCAGAATGATCCTTTTCTAATAATTAAACACTTTATTACTTTTATTTACCAAGAAATGTGTTCTAATCTTTTCTTTCATGAGACTTGCAGAATAAAGATTACACACAGGGAGGTTAATTGCCAAAGATAAGGTTTCACAAATGTGAGGGTCATTTTTAAGTTACCAGGTTTCAAAAATACACAGATGATAACTTTACAACAAACCACTTTATAGTCTAGTTTAGAAATGTCAAGTTTAAGTTACCCTTCAACTCTATCAGGGAGACAGAATCCCACGTGTGAAGAGTCAAATTAAGAGTTTATTACAATAATTTGTTACTTTCTGACTTCAGTATAGCTCTAAGACAGAAAATGCAAACTTGGCTATCACATTTTCATTTTTCCCCTCCTGGGAAAATATTGCCTTATGTATTAAAAGGCACTGAACCAGCAAAAAGTAACTTAAGGGAACATGTAAAATAGCAGACTAACATCTGTTGTCTACCCCTCCCCCAAACACTGAGCCCTCCAAAACAATGTTGTCTTTTTTTCTCGTGGGGGTGGGGGGTGTTGTATTTTAATGTCCCTTTCAGTGAATATATAAAATACAGGGGCAAATGCTGTTCAGTGAATAGGTTCTTTTTCCCTTCAACAGTGTTTGAGGTTGACAAAAGAAGAGGCCACTGGGGCTGGTTAGTCCTAGGTATTAATATAATCGCCTGCCTCATGTTCGGCCTTTTGTTCGGCTGTCACACAATGCGAAGAGGTGAACAGTGCAGTGTGGTCACTCGGCTAACATTAGACAGGGCAGAAAGGCCCTTGCTCCAGAGTCTGTTGCATGACTGCCTCCCCATTCACTTTTCTGTGACCTGAAAACCACTTGGGTAACGGGATGGGACACCTGCATCACCTGCGGTTCTACAAGTTTGGTACCTTAAGAACCAAAACGACTTTGACTAGACAGTGGACATGCTCATGAGATCTTCATGTCAGTCAAGGACATGAAGATAGTAGTGATCTTCTACTATCATGAATGGCTCTGACCATGAGGACCAAATTTGAGCAAGAGTCAAATTATTAAAAGAAGACTCGAGAAGTTGAGGGGTCAATTCAGAAATCACTTCAAGCCGACAGAAGTGGATTAAAATTACTGTTAGCCTCACATAAACCTATTCCTAACTGGCTCACAATATCCAGCTTGAATATTGCACGAATATATACAGCCAGGTAAAGAGTAAGCAGCACTTTGAGCTTTCAATACAATAGCACTTAAAGAATTTGGCTCTTGAATAAAGGTGTCAGCAAGCCATGGAATTCCCAAACAGAAAAACTCACACTGCTTCTTTATTCTATGTTCTTAAGGTCTATTGTTAACTGAAGACTCCTTGTCTTTTCAAATTCCTTCATGTGAATGGATGAGGCCAGACATCTGCCAGGATCCGCTCACATTTGCATGCAAATCAGAGACTTCAGGACACATATGGCCCTGGAGCCAGTAACACTTTTACTCTAGATTTATACTGATCAAAGTGCCTTCCTGAACTTTCCACTCCTCCAGCCCTGGCTTTTACAAATGAAGTAATGAGTCTATTCCGCTAATATTACTTGGACTGTCTTGGCAAAACAATACAAAACACGTTGTCTTTTAGAAAATCCTACACGCAAAAGCCGGAGTCGGCAGTACCTGTTCCCTCACTCCATCAGAATTCTACTCTTCCTTTGTGATTTAGGTTTGGGAATGAAAATACTTACACGGCAGGATGGGATTTAGACTCTTAGCCTTTGCCTTTTAGGTTCTAATGCTTCAAAACCATTTGCACCCCGGCCGGTCATTCACTTATGGCCAGGCTCTGTTCTTGACGTTGGGGCTACGGCGGTGAACACGGCGGGCAAGGTCCCCTTCTCCTGGAGCAGACATCCCGCAGAATCGCCCAGTCCGCGTACCTGCGCGTGCGTCCCCCCCCCCCCCCACCCCCGGAACCGTCCCGGGACGAGCGGCCTTCCCGCTGCTGGACTTTCCCCCCCACCGCAGCCAGCCAGGCAGGGAGTCCCTGGGCGGGACGCGGGCGCCGCGGGAGGCGGGGAAGCGCCGAGTCGGCGGCTGCCCACACCCCTCTCCACACAGCACAAAGGACACTCGCTGGCAAACTTTCCTCGCTTCTGACCCAGGCCAAGCCGGGAACTCTGCGCCAGCTCGGTTCCTGGCGGGGATGAGGCTTCCCTAATATTTTGGGCTGTCTGGCAAGCGTCCTGAGGCTGCCACTCCTTCCGGGCTCAAAGCTCACAAGCTGAGGTCTATCCCCGCGTGGACCGCCGATAGCTGGGTAGATTCTTCCTAAGGCTCTGACTTCAGCACATTCAATGCCTTGTCAATTATGCCCTTTGCCCCTTTCTTTTACCAAGGCCACCGCCAAGACACCCTTTTTCTTTTCTCTCCCCATAATCCGCCACCTTCCTTTCCCTCCTCTTGGCCCTCTTTCCAACTCCCTGAGCTGGCTCCCTTTCCACGCTTTCCTCCAGCCCCAGCTGCCTTCCCCAGTTCACATCCCGGTAGCCCTCCTCCCTCCCAGTCCCCGGGCACCACCCTCCCTTGGTCGGCCCCTGAAATCCAGCGGGCTCGGCTCCAGTCACTGCCTTTTGCCTGTTTCTATCCGGCCTTCCTTCCCAACTGTCGCTCTCCCACACCCTGGTTTTTTTCTTTTTGGTGGGGGGAAACAGGGAGAGACGGAGCACTATATTCCCGTTTCCGCACTTCGTCATTTTCCCCAGCTCCATGAGCCGCGCCCCCTGGTCCCCCTTAGGCCCGCGATCTTACCCTGCGGTTCCCCAGACCCTCCAGGGTCCCCCACGCCACCAAGTTTGCTTCGACTTTACCTCGTTGCCTCCCACACCCCCCGCTGCGGCCCCGCTGGCCAGGGCACTTACCCCGAGGCCCACCTGGTGGGGGTGTCGGGGTGCGCACGGACCCGGCACCCGTGGCGGCGGCAGCAGCAGCAGCAGCAGCAGCAGCAGGAGGAGGAGGAGAACGACGAGGAGGAGGAGGAGAAGGAGGAGGAGGACGGGCCGAGAGGCGCCTCCTTCCCAGCCCGCAGCGCGCACTGGCTCCTCGGGGGACCCCCGGCAGAGCACCAAGACAGGAGGCGAGGCGGCAACACAAGCAACAGCTGCTGCACGGGGCTGGGCTCAGTCAGCTCTTCGAGGCCAGGGCAGGGGCAGGCAGGATTGGAAAAGAGGGTCAGAGAAGTGGGGTGCAGAGGGCGGGGCAGCGAGCGGCCAGGTCCGGAGGAAGGCGCCCCAGGCGAGTAGGGATGCCGCTGCGCGGTGGCAATCGCCCGGGCTGACGCCGCCGGCCCCTCTCCCCGCCCGACAGGCGCTTGCAGCCGCGGGCGCACGGGCCTCGCCTCGCTCCCCCGCTCGCTGCCGGCGCCCTCGGTGCGCCCCGCTTTGTGCTCCCCGCAGCCGGCGTGCACCTGGTGTAAGCAAAGGCGGTCAGCTGATGGGCCGCGCGCGGATTGGCTGCTCTGCCGTCTCCTCCCCTCCCGCCCGACCCCCTTCCAGGACTCCCCCTCCCGCCCCCGCCCCCGCCTTCGGCGTAGCCCGGTGCTGGGCACCATCTGTAGCCCGCCCAACAAAGGCGCAGCGCGGCGGGCCTCGGGTGGTCGGGCCGCGCTGCGCCGCCGCGGTCGCCGCTGCAGGGAGCAGCCGGCAGCCTCTTTTTGTCTAGGGGACAGCAGGCTGCGGCTGGGTAGGAAGGCGAGGCGCACTGATGTTTCTTAGCAAAAGACAGACCAAGAGGAAAAACAGTCCGTGCTAGGAGGCCAGCTAGGCACAATGGGGCCACATCTCTGTGCAACGCAGAACTTGGGCTCCAGGGCTGAGAAGCGGACGCAGTTGGGCCCGGGATTGTGACAGCCAAGTTTCCGGGTGAAATCCGACCCTGCGTCTTAAAATATAGGGCGCGTCCTCGGGCTGTGTGTGCGTGGCCTGGGGCGTCCTCCGCCGACCTGGCCCGGGCCGGTGCCCTTGCCGCGGGAAGGAGGATTCGGACGCTTACCTCAGTGGTGAAGTCGCTCCCCATTTGAGGAGGCTTTCTGAAAACGTTTCTGAAACTTTGAAATTACAGCTTTCTGATCTGTTAGGTGTAAAAGTTGTGTTTAAATAGGCGGCGGAGGACTGAGAACGCAGTCTTAAGTGGAGGGTCGGGAGGGAATGGGTCTTCGGAAACTGCAAGTGAACCGGCGTCTCAATTTCAAAATCGCCAGCAAGCACAGAACAGCACTCTTTACTGCGGGAATCTGCTTTAAGCGAAAGCATCATTAGACCCTCAGTACTTAACCACTTTGGGCAAAGGATTGTGGTGACATTTCATTATGATGTCTAAGCTTAAAACTTCTGGAGAATTTGGAAGGATATATTACTAGAGAATAATCTTTTGGATTCTTCTAAGCCACGAGTTAAATTCACTGTCAGTAATCATATTCTTGATCCTTCTAACATTTCTTGGCGTCTCGCATAGATCTGATAAACGTTTGATGTCCTTATGTTTTCACATACATTGTTATCCTGAAATTGTCATGTAGACATCAATGGTCACATTGTGTTTTAGAAGGCTTTAAGAAAAGATGATATTAGCACTTGGGCTAGAACATCTTGCAGACCAGAGGAACAGCTAGAGAAAAAGGCCCACTGCTGAATAAGATTTAAGATCTTTCAAAGCAAGTTGAGTCTAGACGCTTACCCAAGTTTTGTAACATGATTTTGTCTCTTTTCCCCCCTTTCATGCAGATTATCCATGGAGTTAGCATGCAGACAACATGGAGTTTGTCTGACAGAAGGTGGCCTCTGGTAGAAGCACAGAACTTGAATGGTCAGGGAAAGATAGAATGCAGGTTTCTTAGGGAGTCTCCATTAGGTTTCCAGCCTGTCTTCCTGGGAGTGGAAGAGAGATGAGGTTGTGCCCTTCAAGGAGGAGCTTTACAGAGAGGTCTTAAAGGAGCATTTGGAGCAATTAATGATGGTGACAGTTGCTCCTAGGAGGCAAAATCTAGAACAGCCTCCAGGTTTTGGAAGAGACTTTGTGAGAATGGTATGAGTCAGGGACCAATGTGTGAAGTTTGAAACCAGGCCAACCCTGTTTTAAATCCCAGCCCTATAATTTATGAGCTGTGTCCCTATGGGTAAGTCACTTTATCTCTTTAAACCTTCATTTCCTTGGCTCTAAACTAGGGTTAATAACAGTACTTATCCCAAAGAATTATGATGGTTAAGTGGGAGTAAGCACGTCAAATGCTTAGGACAGTGCTTAGTATACAGTAAGCATTCAATGACAGTTGTAAACTCTTGGCATTATTAGGCAGGTATTGAAGACTAAAAGAAGACATCAGTTCATACAGGTGGGCTGATGATTCCACATGTGACAGAGTATCTCAAAGGCACGAGCTGTTCCAGTAGTGGAAATGGACTCTCTCTCCCCACTGTTCAATTCATTTATTTTTAAATTAGCATGTCATTTATTTAAACTAATTTCCCTCTTCCCCAAAGCAAGAGTGAGAAAGGCAGATTTGCCTGTTTCTACTTGACCACTGCATGCATTTGGTTCCAGACAGAGAGAGCATTATCATTAGGAAGACGTGTGTCAGGGATGGGGGAAGGAATTTGGGTGAGAGGATGGGGCTTGCTGTGGACAGAAGAGGACAGATGAGCATGGCAATTATAAAAGAGTCTGAAATTTGGTGCAGTTATTAGAAATTTGCTCAATTGCCTAACTGGTAATTGGTTCAAATTTTAGAAATTACCGTTTTTTTTTTTTAACTCTGCAAAGGGGTTTCAAGACTATCTTGTTAACTGATACTTAAAAACTCCTTGTCATTGGGATGGAAGAAGAGGAAACACCAAGTCAGTGAACCAGCATAACTAAACCAAATCTCTTACTTGCTTCTTGCTTAAAGAGCTCAAATCACTCTGAATTACTCCTAGTCAGCCCACATAGTCCTGGGATCCTGAATGAGTACAAAAGCTCTTAATGGTTATTTATTAAGGTATGGCAGAAGACCTTGGAATCTTTGAAGGAGAACGAAATTGGAGACAAGAGCCCAAGAGTTCCCAAGAGAGCAAAGTCTTAGTTGATGTAAAGAGTTCTTGCCCCTAGATTGGCTGTGATGAGACACTACAAACCCCTCTGGATTCCTTCACTGGCCCCTTGAGGTTCTTTAGCTTTGGTTTGAAGGAACATTATAATTGGTATTAGCCTAATTGTACTGATCTATGTGGTAAATGAAGGAAAAAAAGAAACTTCAGAGAATAATCATATTTGAATAATTTTTAAAAGAACATCTGTATTTTGGGAAAAGATAATTATCATATGCCACTTAAATGCAATTTTTCAAAGTTGAAAATATGTCTCTCTCTAATTGAAATATTAATAGAGTACCAGTAGTTTGAGTTCTTTCCAATTTCTGAACTAAAATTATAGTTTTAAAACAACTACCACCAAGTTCTTAGAGGGTGATGACTGCAACTTAAAATTATGTGACTGTTGTGTCATTGTTAACTTTCATACCAAATGTATTGTTTCTCTAAGTATTTTTGACAATGAGTGGATTTACTATAGATACATAGTTCCTGTTCTAGTTTTTTTTTAACTGTACATAAAATACCCCAACACAAAAAAGGCGTTAATTGAGGTTTCTATAATTAAAACTAGTTCTGCATTTAAGCTTAAAAACTTGACATGGAACTAAAGTGACCAACCATCTTAGTTTGCCTGGGAATCTCCAGGTTTTGGTCCTAAAAGTCTCAACATCTCAGGTAACCCCTTAGTCTTGGGTAAAACAAGATGGAGGTGGTTCTAAATGAAACTATCATTAATAGGTTTATGATGCTATTACAATTTTAGTCGAGTTGCAGCTTTGCAAATATACTAAATAATGTTTTATTCCTGACTGAATAAAAGGTCCTGTTTCCATTTGTAGGACTTAGTTGTTGTAGAGAGGCTGACAGTCATTGTATTGGCCCATTTTCATACTGCTATGAAGAAATACCCAAGACTGGGTAATTTATAAAGAAAAAAAAGGTTTAATAGACTCATAGTTTTAATGTCTAGGAAGGCCTCACAATCATGGCAGAAGGCAAAGGAGGAGCAGAGGCACTCTCTTACCTGGCAGCAGGCAAGAGAGTATGGGAGGAGAACTGCCCCTTATAAAACCTTCAGATCTTACTTGAGACTGTTTCACTATCATGAGAATAGCACAGGGAAAAAATCCACCCTCATGATTCAATTACCTCCCATTGGGTCCCTCCCACAATATGTGGGGATTATGGGAGCTACAGTTCAAGATGAGATTTAGATGGGGACACAGCCAAACCATGTCAGTCATCAAATCCAACTTTCTTATTTTGTAGATAAAGAAACTAAGTCCTAGAAGAGGGACTCTGCCAGTCTGTTTACAAGGCCTACATTGAAAGCTAGACCATATACTCTTTGGAGAGGGATGATATGACCAACTCCTAGCCCAGGGCCTGTACCGTGTAATAGGTACTTGGTAAACTTTTTATAAAATAAATGAATAAGTTAATAAATGAATGATTTTATGTAATTGGATCACATTATTTCATGAGTATTTTTTTCGTATCATTAAAAAGTCTTTGAAGCTATAATGCTTAATGTCTGCATAATTCCACCAGTGTTTTGCTGGAGAGAAATGACTTTCTGAATTATTTGTTACCACATATAATAAACACACTTGTTTAAAAATGCTATTTTGGTTATTGATCTATAAACATAAACTACACTTTGGATGATCAAGTTAGCACATACTACTTTTTCTATTTTCCTTACTGTTTACCTTTAGCTAGGCAAAGTTACTAAAAAATAAAAGAATATTTGGTTGCTTTGGTAAAGATTTCAGTTGAAAGAAGAATTTTAGAATTTTCTTTGTTTTTAATTATTTGCTCTCCATTGTGATTTCTCTTTTGTCTGTATAATGATAGTTAACATAAACTAAGAACTAACTCTGGGCCAAGTAGCACACCTAGTCATGTTTTTTGTATTGAGAGAGGTAGTCTAGTGTAACAATTAAGAGCCAGAGTTCTTATAATTGTCACCGGGAACAAATAAACCAAAGACCATCACTGGCTTAAATAAGGCAAGTTTATTTCATACTCAAGTAACAGAGTGTGTTTCTGGGCCCAGTGGCTTCTACCTGGTGAGTCCAGGCCCAGGTGAATTCCACTTTTTGGTTCTTCCTCCTCCATGGCTGTAGGCTTTTTTTCCATTTGCACAGAGGATAGAAAGAGAAAGAGACTAAAGGATCACAGGAACGTTCTATGGGCCAGCCTAAGAAATGGCTCATATTACTACTGGTGAGAACTCAGTTACATAGCTACATCTAATAGCAAGGGAAGCTAGGGAATGCAGGCTAGGTATGTGCCTAGAAAGTAGAGGAAGAAATTGTGCAACATTTTGCAGTCTGTATTAGCAATACAGTAACATATATTAGAAATACAGTCATCTCGCCTTCTGTTGGCTGTTATCTTATTTAGTCTTCATAACAACTCTGGTAAGATAAGAGAGAAAATGACTACTTCAGGGACATCCTGTAAGTAGGAGGGCATCATTACAGCAAACAAAATATGTATAGAACTAGAGCAGGGCTTTCAAGTCCTCTGTTCAGCTTAAAACTGTTCTTGGTTGACTGCTATTCTAATTACCATCAACATAGTGCCTTCTCAAAGTTCCCAGAGACTTCAAGCAGCGAGAGGAAGACTGTCAGCTGCCTTGCCAGAAGCATGCACTCCTTATTCTTTTAGTACCATCTTTCTTCTTTCAGTAACCATAAAACTTTAAGGAAGTTCAGAATCGTTCCTCACAAGAAAGTGCGTAGAGACTACTGCACTGGAATTCAGTGTCCCTATTATCATAAATTTAATATCCACAGTTACTTTTACTCCTGGGGGCCTATGAGGCTATAAAAGAAATATTGGCAGTTAGAGGAGACACAGTTGGCTTATACACATTTTGCAGAAACACTGAAGCCCACAGAATTTCCTCTACATTTCATTTTGTACCTTCTTTGACAAGTTTGTCTCCATTTGCCTGTACTTTATTTTATTTTTATGAGGGAGAACTCTCATACTTGTTATCTCTGAGTATGTTAACAGTCTCTTTTGAGTAAAACATTGCCCTTATTGCATTTTCATGGATAACTGACTATTCACTTACTGGACCAATCATCTGTTAAAAACCATATTTTCTTGAATTCAGTTCACATTGTACTTTTGAGTCTGTATCACTTTGCTCAAACTTTGCATCACATACTAGCTATCTTTTGGAAAGGAGACTGAGTTTTTTGAGTTTTGTAGCCTTGGAGAAAGAAGGCTGCAGATAATGGTGATTTATCTAGTTACTCGAAGCAAGGTCATATTGTAATTCAGTTCTGTAAGGACCAGAGGGTTTGGGAGCTGTAAAGAGCCTCAGAGATGGTCTGGCTCAACTCTTTCATTTTACAGATGAGCAAACTGAAGGCTCAAGAAGACCAACATTTCTATTTACTTCAGTGCATTTGGGAAATTTGAATGGATTTAAATCCTTACCCAAGGTCCACTGCTGGTTAACAAGAGAGCTGGGCTAAAATCTAGTTTACTTGATTTTTCTCTTATCTTAGTGTAACTTTAATTAGGATCTTCAGGCCTCCCAGAAGTTCATGGGATATACTCTTAAGAGTCTGCTACTTTGCTATACATGAACCCCAAAGCACAGAAAACAAAAGCAAAAGTATGTGTATGGGATTACATCAAACTAAAAAACTTTTGCACAGCCAAGGAAATAATCAACAGAGTGAACAAACAGCCTATAGAATGGGAAAACATATATGTCTGATATATACCTTGCATCTGATAATGGGTGAATATCCAAAATATATAAATAATTTAATTCAATAGTAATAAAATAATCCAATTACAAAATAAGCAAAATATCTGCATAGACATTTCTCAAAAGAATATGTACAAGTGTCCAAAGGTATATGTAGATTTTTAAAAATGCTCAAAATCACAAATTATCAGAGAAATGAAAATCAAAATCACAATGAGCTATCTTTTCATGCCTGCTATAGTAGCTATTATCAAAAGATGAAAGGTAAGTTTTAGGAAGATTGTGGAGAAAAGCAAACCCCTGCACATTGGTGTATAAGTTGGTTCAGAATTGACTACCCAAATAGGTTAATTGTACTATATATATATATATATATATATATATAGAGAGAGAGAGAGAGAGAGAGAGAGAGAGAGAGAGAGAGAGAGAGTTATCTCTAGAATCCTGAACCAAAGTCAGAAGATTTGAGTGTGTCATTTGCAGCCATGTACCTCTCAATGTGCCATTGACAGACTCAGTTTTCACATGCTCCCTGAGAAGTCAGAGTAAAAACATCCATCTGGCCTGCTTCCTCAGTTTCCAGATCAAATCAAACTGCTCAGGGAAGTACTTTGCAAATGGCGGAATGTGTAGACCATGTCTTCATGATGCTGGGATAGTGGAAGGCTCTGTGGGTGGTGGGCTTCCAGAATGGGGTTCCCACAGACTGTGGCAGGCTGTGCCATGTGTATGATGCCTAATGTAGACTGCACCTCCCAAATGTACCTGCTCCCTTTCACTACAGTGTCAGGGAAGAAAACAAAACTGCCAGCACACCTTGGGACAAATGACTAAATGCCCTCCAGACATTTCAGAGTCCTCTGCCTTTCATACTTCAGTTCTTCCTGAAGGAATCTGGGGCTGGAAAGCAGGAAGCAATTTGCTGTGGGATTTTTTTCCATCACAGGTAAGATTTAGTTGTAATAATAATGGTAATAATAATGGCTAATTAAGGATGAGCTGTGTGCTAGGCATGGTGCAATTTCTGCATGAATTCTATGTAATTCTTAGAATAATCCCAAGAGACAGATGCTGTTTATTACTTTCATTTTTTCCAGATGAGGCCACTGAGACCTTAATGAAGTTATATCACGTGCCCTGGATCACCAGGCTGATACCAGAGCTCATGCTCTCAACTCTGATGTGATCTGTAGCCCCAGATTCTATCTATGCCATAATACCAGAATCTGACAGGCCTGCCCTGTTTTGATCATATCAACACTGATACTATGTCTACTAGGGGAAAAGATTCTAAATTCAATAAACAACATGGACTGAAGTAGTGTCCAAGGAGCTGTCCTCAGATATATTAATTCTTTCTAAAATGAGAAACATAAGAAATACTGCTCACATTTCATCAGTATATTCAGAAAATAATATTTGAAAGTAACTAGTAGGGTATTTGAAAATTTTTGATGTGTAAAAAGTAATGAAATTTCCATTTGTGATATTGGAGCTTTCTGACTGGGGCACAGGGAGGGTCATCCAGGGACCACGTCGTTGATTCTTAAGGGTAGGGCAGTTATATGGGATGTGGTTTGCCAGATCACTTCCTGGAATGAAGGGATCTGGTGAGCCTCTAGTGAGAACTGGATTCTAGACTCAGTCTTAACACTCATCACTTTCCATCTCTGACCCTCTCAGTTCTTAATGTATAAAATGAGACCACTGAAAGTATCTGTGGTATTCATACTTTCTTTTCCACCCAGAACTCTTTGGTTAAATTAAATCATAAGAAAACACCATATCAGGCCAGTTGTAGTGGCTCATCCCAGTAATCCCAGCACTTTGGGAGGCTGAAGCAGGTGGATCACTTGAGGTCAGGAGTTCAAGACGGGACTGGCCAACATCTTGTCTCGACTTACAAATACAAAAAGTAGCTGAGCATGATGGCATGCATCTGTAATCCCAGCTACTGGGATGGCTGAGGCAGGAGAATTGCTTGAACCTGAGAGGCAGAGGTTGCAGTGAGCCGAGATTGTGCCACTGTACTCCAGCTTGGGCAAGAGAGTGAGACTCCATCTCAAAAAAAAAAAGAAAGAAAAAAAGAAACAAACATATCAAGACATAATAGCAAATTTATCTGGTCACAACAACTAAATCTACTCTAGCTAATTGGGCAGGAAGATATTTACTAAAAGGTGTGAGTTAGTCTACAGGGTCTCTGGAAGGGCTAGAGAATGTGAATGTTGCCCAGCCAGGAAAAAGCCCCCAGAGAAAACCCCCTGACATCCCATGTGCCTATTCTGGTAGAATCAATGTTGTCATTCTTGCCCATCATTCAGTACCTATCACATTATGGTCTAGTCTGGTCAGAAACTCTGCACGCCTCTCCCAAATGATACTGCCATTGTCCCTGCCAGAAGATCTAGGCCCCTAGCCATAGCTGTCATTTTATGTAGCTCACTGTGCCTCCGTGCTGCTTGACTAAACCCAGGCCCAGTGCAGAATAGGAAGCCATCTAGAAGCCAGGGCTGGGTATGGGTGGGCCTGTCCCTGTCATCTGCACTCATTAAGATGGCCAGAGCAGGAGCCCCTATTCAGCTTTCTCTTGTCACTGTTCCTTGGGGATGGTGGTGCCTTGCTGGCTGGTCATGCACTAAACAGGTCCCCAAAGCTTTGCAGATCAAGTCAGATAATGACCAAACTAGATTATTTTTAAGATTCTCTCCACTGCTAAAATTCCTTGATTGTATGTATTCCAAGGTTAAATTAGAGTAGAAGTGTTTAAACAAGTACTTTCCTGTAAGAATATTATTCCCAAGGAGTATGGCTTTGTCTACATTTACATTTTAGTCGATTTCTTCAATTAGGTATCAGTATAAGATTACCCAATTCACATAAAATGAAAGGGAGTGTAAGGGAGAGAAAAGAAACCTCTGACAAAGGTCTTCTATGGGATTTCTTTTCAGAAGAGCAGATTTGGGGCCTTTCAAGAGAAGCATTTTTAAGTTGAGAGTACTCGCAGATAGGAAAACTGCCTACAGTGTTTAAGTTCAAATTTACAAGCCCCAGCACAGAGCTCCAAAAGTCAAAAGAAGCAGTGGGCAAGCTTAAGCTACCTTAAATTACACAGAGGTCTGTTTATATAATCTTTTGACTCTTTAAAGTCTCTCAATTATCAGAAAATAACTGTTATCAAAGTACCCCGAAGACATCAGATATCGATGAGGTGGTGTCTTATTAGGTATAACATGTCCATCACTGTTTGATAACTTGGGATACACCATGTTATTGTGCCCAAGAGCTTGGACTCTGGATTTATTCCCTTGACATTTGGAAGCATTAGTAACGAATCCATTAGATGGGAATAATAACAGTAACTGCATCACGTTGCAAGAATTAAATGGGACAATGTATGTTAAATTATTAGCACATTTCTTGAGACAATAGATGTTTTGTCTAGACTTTGGACATTTGGAGGCCCAAATGGGGCCTAAATAGTGTTAGCAGTTGAGCAGTGACTTGGGGAGCCTGCTGCTGGGGAGAGGAAAAGCAAGAAATGTGATATTCATAAATGTGCCATCAACCACAAGTCCTCTATCATCACCAAGACTTAGGGACAGAGGGTCCCTCAGAGTCTCCCTTAACTCCAAGATTTCCCTTGTTGTTTATTACTGTATTAGTCTGTTTTCAAGCTGCTGATAAAGACATGCCAGAGACTGGGCAATTTACGAAAGCAAGAGGTTTAATTGGACTCACAATTCCATGTGGCTGGGGAGTCCTCACAATCATCACAGAAGGCAAAGAGGAGCGAGTCACATCTGATGTCAATAGTGGCAGGAAAAAGAGAGCTTGTGCAGGGAAACTCTTGTTTTTAAAACCATCAGATCTTGTGAGACTTATTCACTATCATGAGAACAGGGGAAGGACCCGCCCCCAGAATTTAATCACCTCCCACCAGGCTCCTCTCACGAGACGTAGGAATTGTGGGAGTTACAATTCAGGTTGAGATTTGGCTGGGGGCACAGCGAAACCATATCAATTATGGACTGCTTTCATCTGTATTTGACTCAGTAGACATAGACAAACATCAGCTACATGTAAACACGATGGCCTATGAACTGGAGACTAGACAAACATGACACTAATTCAGCAAATATTTGTTGAGTTTCTACTGTGTTCTAAGCACTGTTTTTGTTTTTTTTTTTTTTGGCTCTGAGCTTTAATAGGGTCTGAGATGATCATATGGGGACTGAGGTGGGGACACGAGGAATGATGTTAAAAAAGAGATATTAGGGTTGACTCTGCCCCATGTACGTTGGGAAACCACAGATAGCATGACTAACCATCCCAGTTTGCCTGGGACTGAGAGGTTGTCTAGGATGTAAAACAGTTCTTTTTAAAACCAGAATTGAATGCTTTCCCAGGATGTGGTATTTTCATGCTAAAGCCAGGGAGGTTCTGCTAAATTGGGATAAATTGGTCATGTTAATGGGTTTTACATCCCCTGTTGGACAGCCTCTCTACCTTTGCAGAATTTATTTCCCTGCATTCAAAATGAAAAGCTTTGAACTGGGATGCAGTGGTGATGTAGTACAGAGAGGTCTGGAGTGAAATTTCAGAGGGCAGCTCAGACCCTGGCTCTAGCTCTTCTTGCTATTGTGATGACTCTTGGCAAATTGATTACTTCTCTGCACTTCAGCTCTCTCATCTATACAAGCAGAAATACCCAGCTTCTGAGCATTTGAACAGGTTACATGAGATAATACGTGCACAAGTGCCTTGCACAGAGAGGGAGTGCCTTCATGTTTTAAGTTTCTTTGGAATAAGAAAACATGCCACATTGGCTTAGAGATAAGAAGTTTCATATACACACGCTTGTCTGCATTAGCCTTTCTTCATTTATGCTTCATGTATTGCCCTGGTAATGCTATTTAAATGTTTCAATTGGGTGTGTTCCAAGTTACTAACAAAATTGTAAACTCCCCAAGTGCAAGTGTTGTCTTTTCATGTATTGGCTGTCTCCTAAAAGCTTCTAGAAATTAGTGTAGTCAAATTTTGGGAACACAAATTGCTGAGATTGGTTTGTAATGCCCTTAGAATAAAATATGCAGCAAATACTTAGTTTTGGATCTGCATTTTACACTGCGAGTCTACCACCATGAATGTTAATGTTATATGTATGTAAGAGGAGCCAGCTCAGAACATATCCTCTTGAAGCCTTTATCCTACCTAAATTATTGCATTTTAATCCCTTTATCTGTGTGACTTTCTTGCCATGTGCAAATGCAAGGGCAATGACAAGGTGGTAGAGACAGGACAGATATATACCTTGCCATGCTATGTAGGCAGAAATCCTTCTGTGCCCATGAGCCGGAGAAAACATGGTTGAAATGTCAAATCTAATTGTGGGGACTGGAGTTTATAAGCAGCAACAAGCAGCCACATGCAACCCCACATTAGCCAAATGGAGAGAAACTTCTTTGTAATTTCGAATTTTCTGTTAACATAATGGGTTAGTCGGTCTGCTCATTTGGGAAACTCTGAAGGGCTTTCTTTAAAAGTTCCTAGGGGAGAAATGTCACTCGTTAGCAGTGAACTTGACTCTTCCCATATTAATTCCTCTTCTCTCCTTTTCCTCCCTCCCTCCATCTCTTTCACACCAAGTGGTTTCTGTGATTGACTTTAAGCCAAATGTTCATCCAGCATCCTTGGCATATGTTGTTGTGTGATGGCTGTGCTGGTCTTCACATTAGGTCTGTCCTCTGCATGACTGAATCAGCTCTCATGGCAAAAGGTATTGCTGGTTCTGAGTGATGGTTCAGCACTGCGTTGTTGGGATCAGCTCCTAAACCAGGCTGGAGAAATCTGCTAAAATCACTTAACTAAAAACATCCTCTTCTGCTGTTTGAAGGATGTTCCTGGGTTTGTACCATAGATTTTAAGAGGTGATTTCAGTGTTTTATTTTTAGGGTAGCAGAAAGGAGGTAGGCTTTAGCTGCATATTGCCGAAAGAGCTAATATGACCTTGGGCTTCATTAAAAGAAGTATTAAGCTTAAAACAAAGGAGGAGAGGTTTTACTGAACATGAGCAGCTGTCTTTAATTTATTCATTTATTCAACTAAAATATATGACAACTATTCTGTGAAAGTCACTGTGCTGTGAGAGATACAAAAATGACAAGTAGCACAGCCAGACAGATGTAAATTGCATTAAATGAGAGTTCTTTGAGGGGACTGCTGCTTTTCTAGCTTAGCTCATGGAACTACAAGATTCTTTACTCCAGCAGTCACAAAGCCAGATGTCTGCAGGGGGCTGGCAGATAAGTGAGTAAAGTGGCCTGGAAAGGACGGCACCAAATTGCAGAGGATGTGCCCTGTCTAAAGTGGGCAGCTGCTATTCAGTCCTATTCAATTGCCATCTTTGAAGATCGTGGGTCTGGCTTTGCCAAGAGAGAATGGGAATCCAAAATTTGTGTGAAATATTCCATTTAAAAATGTCAAGATAGCAGCTAAGTCAAATTTATTTATTTATTTTTTTGAGACAGAGTCTTGCTCTATTGCCCAGGTTGGAGTGCAGTGGTGCAATCTTGGCTCACCGCAACCTCCACCTCCTGGGTTCAAGTGGTTCTCCAGCCTCAGCCTCCCGAGTATCTGGGACTACAGTTGTGTGCCGCCACACCTGGCTAATTTTTTGTATTTTTAGTAGAGATGGGGTTTCACTGTGTTAGCCAAGGTGGTCTTGATCTCCTGACCTCATAATCCACCCTCGTTGGCCTCCCCAAATGCTGGGATTACAGGCGTGAGCCACCGCACCTGAGCTACCTAAGTTAAATTTTAAAAGCTCTGTAGAATAAATCAAATGTCTTTGGGCTGCATTCTGCCCATGGGCTTCTCTTTTGTAAATTGTTCTAATAAGTAGTGTCCACCCAATCCAGGTGTGTTTGTCAATAGTTAGAGGGGTCCTTTGAGATTTCACATAAATAATCAATTGGTGTATGTGATAGTTAATATTGAATGTCAACTTGATTGGACTGAAGGATTCAAAGTATTGTTCCTGAGTGTGTCTGTGCGAGTGTTGCTGAAGGAGATTAACATTTGAGTCAGTGGACTGGGAGAGGCAGACCCGCGCTCAGTCTGGGTGGGTGCCATCTAATCAGCCGCCAACGCAGCTAGAATAAAAACAGCCAGGAGAAGATGGAAGAGCAGACTTGCTGACTCTTTGCCTTCATCTCTTGCCTTTATCTTTTTTTTTTTGCCTGTTTGCCTCTCTTCCCTTCATCTTTCTCCCATGCTGGATGCTTCCTTCCCTGGAACATCAGACTCCAAATTCTTTAGCCTTTGGACTCTTGAACTTCCACCAGTGTTTTGCCAGGGGCTCTCGGGCCTTTGACCACAGACTGATGGCTGCACTGTCACCTTCCCTAGTTTTGAGGTTTTGAGACTTGGGCTGATCCACCGGTGACTTCCTTGCTTTTCAACTTGAAGATGGTCTATCGTGGGACTTTACCTTGTGATTGTGAGAGTCAATTCTCCTAATAAACTCCACTTCACATACATATATATCCTATTACTTCTGTCCCTTGAGAGAACCCTAATACAGTGTAGATTACCTGGACTTATTAATGAGAATGACTCTGTTTACTTAATGTAACAGATACAAACAAATGAGTGACACCCATACAATTCACATAATTTTGGTGGGGAGTGAGAGGAGTTGGTTCTCCATTCACAATGGAAAGCTTTAGCATATTCTGCTGCACATGACCTAGGAGCATTTTGCACTTCCACTGAGAAAAAGTAAGGGGAATAAAACCCCTGGATTCTACTTGCTAACTTGTGAGTGACTAAATCAGTTTATCTGGAGGTTCCCCAGGGTGGATTCAGAGTGGACTCAGGCCAGATTCTTTGCTGATGCTTTGAACTTATGTCTAGAGCATCACCTCCAACACAAGAGAGCTTGTCTGCTGTGTGTCCTGGCCAAAGAAATGCATGTGCTCAATCACTGGATAGCGGCTCTTGAGTAACTCCTGGAATTACCCGGCTGGAATATCTATTCTTTTTGGACCACAAATTTCATCTCTTCACCTTCCGCCAGTATCATGCTGAAGATGGACATGTCCCAGCTAAACCATATAGGTGGACTAGCCACATTAACAAGAGAAGCAATGGTCCATTTTCTCACTGGTTATTAACTATGTACATTAAAAATTAAATAACAAATCTGGTCATTGTTGCTACTCTATTCTGTAGGGTGGAATAGAGAAGGTAGAGGGTAAATATTTCAGTTGCATTTTAAAAATTGTTTATTTTATTTTTTAATTGAAAGTAGAAAAAAGCGGACAAAACCCATAACTACCATTGCACCAACCTGATAATTGTACATATTCATGGGGTACATAGTAATGTTTTGGTACTTCCCGTGATCAAATCAGGGTAATTAGCATATCCATTATCTCAAACATTTATCATTTCTTTGTTACTGTATTAGTTGGTTCTTACACTGCTATGAAGAAATATCTGAGACTGGATAATTTATAAAGGAAAGAAGCGTAATTGACTCACAGATCTTTATGGCTTGGGAGGCCTCAGGAAGATTACAATCATGGCAAAGACAAAGGAGAAGCAGGCACCTCCTTCACAGGGCAGCAGGATGAAGTGAGTGCAAGCAGGGGCAATGTCAAATGCTTATAATACCATCAGATGTGGTGAGACTCACCCACTATCACGAAAACAGCATGGGGAAACCACCCCCATGATCCAATGACCTCCGCATGGTCCTGCCCTTGACACATGGGGATTACAATTTAAGATAATATTTTGGATGGAGACACAGCCAAACCATATCATTTGTGTTGGGAACTGTTGCATTTTTTAAAAGTAAAATGAATGGCCTAATGGTTGACATTAGCAATGTGAGGTGATCACTCAATAGTTGTGAAGAAGTGAAGATATGACTGATAAATTTGTTCAGATTTGCCTTTTCTAGACTGGGAAAGCTAGAATTCAAGCAGAATCTGTGACCTGTACAAAAACTGAAATTAACTTATTTTCTCCAGATTCACCTAGATTAGGCTGTCCCACATTGGTGTAGATAAAACATGATTAATATGCTTTGGGAGGGGCTGGGAGATTGAGGGACACATTTTACACTTGGCCACAAGAGAAACAATTGAAGCACCATTAGTTGTTGAGTTTTTTAATCTTTTTATTTCCTTCATAAAAAATTTGTTATTTTTAACATTTTCTACATAATAAACAGAAGAGTAAATTATGTGTCACATAAAGATTTATGTGTTACAAATTTATAGTGATTGATGTACTTTTGACACATCTATCACATTTTCAAGATTTATAATTTTCTTGCAATAGGGCGTTTAAGTTTTTGTGCCTTCTTTCTGTATGTTTATGCAAGGCGTGTTTTCCAGACTCTTTTTTTTCATGGTTTCTGTGCACTGAGGACTTTCTAAAAATAAAATCGTTCTTCATCTCAACAATCATGAGGTAGATATTGTTATCTTCACTTTGCAAGAGCTGAAGCTTAGGGTAAATAAGAAATGCTTAAAATTTTGCAGTTAACTTGAAGAGCCAGAATCTGAACCCAGTTCTGTCTTATTCTCATAATAACTTTATTGCCAGCTATGAAATATCCATGACACTTGTTTACATCTCAGATAAATAACTTTTATATTAACTTCTACTGAGAACATAAACTGAGGCCAGATATTTTTAGCAAATGCATTTAACCTGGGGAGGCGATTAACACTTAAGAGGCGAAGAGATGGCACAAGACCCAGGTTTCCATTAAATTTGAAATTAAATGGAAATACAGTTGACACCTGTGTCTTTAGGCCAATTAACTGCTATAACTAAGTAGAAATTACCCTGTTTCTTGTGGAAATAAGCCAATTGAAGGTGTGTAGGTTATGAAGATCTAGCTTGTGATTTGAAAGAAAAAAACCCATTCCAGGAGACTGGGCTCATGGGACTCTAAGGCAAGTCATTTAGATTTGATCTCATCAAACTGGCTATGTCAAAATGCATGAACCAAAATAAAAACTTGTGCTCTACATACCCTAGTGTTTGTTCAGTGTTGCTTTTGAAAAAAATACAAGCTATCAATCAAAAGTAATTTAGACGATTCAAATCTTTATTGGACTCTCTTGAATAATGTCAAGGCAGATAAAAATCTGAAAATCCCATCCACTATTATTAAAATAACGTTTCTTTAGTTCTCTCAAACCCAGTATCTCTCAGATCAGGAGCTAATCTTAAAATTAAGGCCTTTATTATTTATTTATTTTTAAATATTGCCCCTCTCTAGCCTTGCCTGGATTCTCCATCTCCTCAACCCCAGGAACCAACAAGCTATCAAAGACAGAATTTGCACCAGAGGACAAAGGAAGGTAAGGTTGGGAGTACTGATACTTTATTTTTGCTCTGTCAGACATAAAAATGCTATATATGATTCCTAAGGAGTCTGTATATCAGAGATACCAGCAAACACTCCATCCCTAAATATCCCTTGCGCCATTGCTGTGGGCAAGACTCAGGAGCCTCACGAGGTTCAGAGAGAGCATAAGAGTCAAGAATGGTGAGAGATTCATGTGTGTGGTGAGAGGAGAAATAAGATTCACAGGTGGACTGAGTTGAGTAACAGGCATGGGTTGAAACTTATCATTGGGGCTAATATGACAGATTTTTTGGTGTGTAATTTTTAGATAACATGTGATGCCTTCTGTTTTAGGCAGCATTAAAATGATCTTGTGCCACAGTGACTATGTCAGAATGTCATTGTCTGCCTTTGTTGCACTCTGATGGGCCTGCCTCTCTATTTTCCACTTATATCCATGTTTCCCAACTTCTGGATACCTGATCAAATGAAATGTCAGGTCAGGTCTGAATCATAGTGTCATGCTTGGAAAGAACCTTAACGGTCATGCACTTCAGCAGTTTCCAAATCTCATACCTGGGCTGCTTTTTCAACATGCACATTCTTGTACTGTACTTCTCAGAGTTTTATTTATTTTATTTGTTTGCTCTAGAACCCCCCAAACTGCAATTAAAAAACTATTCCCAAATGTTTTTGTTAACCACTCTGCTTTGAGAAATCTAGATTAAATTCACCTGCTTCCATCCCGCTTGATCCTATGCCTGCTACTCAATTCAGTCCACCTGTGAATCTGACCACCCCGTACTTAAATCTCTCACCCCTCCTTCCACCAGCCGGCTCTTGGTCAGCCTAGGGATGGTGTTGGCCATGGGGATGGAAGCTCACAGGTACGGAGTGCTTACGAATTGTCAGTCACTGAACCAAGGGCTTTACCTATATTTATTCCACTTACCATATGTAGCAATCTCAAGAGACACATAAGATTATTACCCTCGTTTTCCTTTGAGTCATTGAATTTGCTGCAAACACACTCTTTTCTAGGTTTCTGCTCAGGTATTTCTCCCCTTGTGAGGCACTCTTACCTCCTCTATGATCTTGGTGATGTGCCTAACCTTTGTGCTTCTGCAATGTTTGTGCTGACTTCTGTTCTCACATCTATTATTGAGATGACAACACATTTAACAGCTAAGGGTGTGGAGTTACTCTGCCAGTTCCTGGCAGTGTGGCTCCAGGCAAGTTAAACTTGCTCTTGCTCTGCCTTTTTTTTTTTTTTCATTGTAAAATGAAGATTTAAAATAGCACCTGTCTTAGGTTTGATGTGAGGACCAGGACACGAATGCATGTTAAACACTTAGACCTGGGAAGAGAATAAATGTCCCACAAATGTTACCTGTTATCTTATTACACCACATTTTAACTGTCCATTTACTTGTCTTTCTCCTTTCACAGGCTATAAGCATGTTGAAGGCAGAGACTATACCTTGTTCAGTGTTCTGTCTCTAGTATCTACTGCAAGACCAAGCAAACAGTAAGTACTCAACAATTGGTGATTCTTCATGTCAGCCTTACCCATAAAAGGGTTCAGAATAAAACATTATAGAGACCTGCAGCCCACACACTTTCTTTTTTTCTTTTTTGAGATGGAGTTTCGCCCTTGTTAGCCAGGCTGGAGTGCAATGGTGCGATCTCGGCTCACTGCAACCTCCGCCTCCTGGGTTCAGGCAATTCTCCTGCCTCAGCCTCCTGAGTAGCCGGGATTACAGGCGTGCGCCACCATGCCCAGCTAATTCTTTGTATCTTTAGTAGAGACGGGGTTTCACCATGTTGACCAGGATGGTCTCGATATCTTGACCTCGTGATCCACCTGCCTCGGCCTCCCAAACACTTTCTCATTCCTCTGAACCTTTGCAACAATTCTAAATGATACCACCCTGCTGTACATTATTAATAATAATAATTTATTTTATTATGATTTAATCACATGGCCCTATACATTTACTCACTGCTTTGCCTTCCAGACAAGCCTAGATTTGAATCTTCTTTTTTTTTTTTTGAGACGGAGTTTCACTCTTGTTATCCAGGCTGGAGTGCATGGTGCGATCTCGGCTCACCGCAACCTCTGCCTCTTGAGTTCAGGCAATTCTCCTGCTTCAGCCTCCTGAGTAGCTGGGATTACAGGCACGCACCACCGTGCCCAGCTAATTTTTTGTATTTTTAGTAGAGATGGGGTTTCACCATGTTGACCAGTATGGTCTCGATCTCTTGACCTAGTGATCCACCCACCTCGGCCTCCCAAAATGCTGGGATTACAGGCGTGAGCCACCGCGCCTGGCCCAGATTTGAATCTTGCTTGCTTGCTTCTCTTGCTTTCTTTGTGGCATTGGGCAAATCATTGAACCTCTTGGATCCTCATTTTATTCATCTATAAAACTGAGATGATATAATGCATCTTCCTTGCAGAACAGTAAAAGGATTAGCAGTGTTGTGGTTGTATGGTGGCTGGGATGGAAAAGATGCCCAGGAAGAGGTACATAGGCTTTCTATTGCATGGAAGGAGTTCTCCACAAATGTTTGTGAGTTTAGTCTTGGCCTCTGTTTAGTATAGTCACATACCTCAGAGATATTGAGGGTCTGGTTTCAGACTACTGCAATAAAGAGAATATTACAATAAAGCAAGTCATGCATTTTTTGGCTTCCTAGTGCATATAAAAATTATGTTTACACTATACCATAGTCTATTGAGTGTGCAATAACATTATGTCTAAAAATGTACATACCTTAATTTAAAAATACTTTATTGCTAAAATATGCCAAAAATCATCTGAGCCTTCTCCGAGTCATCACCTTTTTGCTGGTGAAGGGTCTTGCCTCAGTATTGATGGCTGCTGACTGATCAAGATGGTTGCTGAAGGTTTATATGGCGGAGGCAGTTTCTTAACATAAGACAACAATTAAGTTTGCTATATTGATGAACTCTTCCTTTCATAAAATATTCCTCTGTATCATGTGATGCTGTTTGATAGCATACTCATATAATTTGGAGTCAATCCTCTTCAACCCTGCTGTTTGTATGGTAAATGCACCTGATAGCATTAATGTAAGCACACCCTGAGAATCACTGTATGGCAGATACACCTTAATGTGTGTTCTGAGCCAGGGAATCTGGGAATGGCCAACCTGGAGATTCATTCCTTGCCTATGAGGTACATCTGAGTCCTTGTCCCGTCCCATGAAACATGGGCCATACAGGGGATTGAGACCCTGAGTTTTGGGTTAAATGGAGGTTGCCAGGTGGAGGTCATTAAGGGGAGGGCGTTAAGTGAAAATGTGGTGCTGCATGCTGTTTGCAAGCTGTTGTTGCCTTCCTGTCCAGCCCACCACCACTGAACCATCTCTGTATGTTGGGTGGTTCTCCTGTCCAGCCCTCTGCTACTGAACTCCCTCCCCTGTATTTCATCCCCTAATAAATTCCATGTCTCATTTGCTGGCTCTAGGTGTTGTCTTTGGTTACTTGAACATGGTGCCTTCCCTATTGAGGTTAATAGGGGTTCGGCACAACACCATTGCTTTATCAACTAAGTTTATGCAATATTTTGAATCCTTTGTTGTCATTTCAGCAATGTGCACAGATCTTCATTAGGATTACTAGGGGTAGATTCCATGTCAAGAAAATACTTTCTTGGCTCCTCCGTAAGAAGCAACATGTCACCTGTTCCAGTTTTATCAGATTGTAGTAATTCAGTCATATCTTCAGGCTCTACTTCTAACTGTAGTTCTCTTGCTATTTCTACCACAACTGCAGTTACTTCCTCTACTGATGTCTTGAACTCCTCAGAGTCATCTATGAGGGTTGGAATAAACTTCATCCAAACTCCTATCAATCTTTTATTAGTAGGGGCAGTTTTCTCCTCTCATGAATCACAAATGCTTTTAATGGCATATAGAATGGCAAATTTTTTCCAGACAGTATTCAATTTACTTTTTCCTGATCCATCAGAGGAATTGCACTCTATAGCCTTATGGAATGTATTTCTTAAATATTAAGGCTTGAAAGTTGATTACTCCTTGACCCATGAGCTGAAGAATGAATGCTGTGTTAGCAGCATGAAAACAACATTCATCTCCTTGTACATGTCTGTCAGAGCTCTTGTATGACGACTTGCATTGTTAATGGGCAGCAGTATTTTGAAAGGAATCTTTTTTTCTGAGCAGTAGGTCTCAACAATGGGCTTAAAATACTTAGTAAACTATGCTTTAAAGAGATGTGCTGTCATCCAGGCTCTGTTTTTTCCATTTTGAGAGCACAGGCAGATGAGGTTTAGCATAATTCTTAAGGGCTCTAGGATTTCCAGAATGGTCAAAGAGCATTGGCTTCCACCTTAAGTTGCCAGCTGCATTTTAGCCTCTAACAAGTGAGTCAGCTTGTCTTTTGTAACTTTGAAGCCAGACATTTACTTCTCTCTAGCTATGAAAGTCTTAGATAGCATCTTCTTCCAGCATAAGGTTCTTTGATCTACACTGAAAATCTGTTGTTTAGTGTAGCCACTTTCTTCAGTCTTAGCTAGACCCTCTGGATAACTTGCTGCAGCTTCTCCATCAGCACCTGCTGCTTCACCTTGCACTTTTATGTTATAGAGATGGTTTCATTGCTTAAACCTTGTGAACCAATGTCTGCTAGCTCTAACCATTTATTCTGCAGTTTTCTCACCTCTGTCAGCTTTCAGAAAATTGAAGAATTAGGGCCTTGCTCTGGATTAGGGTTTGGGTTAAGGGAATGTTGTGGCCAGCATGGTTTTCTTTTCTTTTCTTTCCTTCTTTCTCTCTTTCCTTATTTCCTTCTTTCTATCCTTCCTTCTTTCTCTCTTTCCTTCTTCTTTTTCTCTCTCCCTTCCTTCCTTTCCTTCTTTCTCTCCTTCTCTCTTTCTCTCTCTTTTTCCCTTTCTCTCTCCTTCTCTCTTTCTCTCTCTTCTGTTTTGCTCTCATTGTCCAGGCTGGAGTGCATTGATACTATCTTGGCTCACTGCAACCTCCACCTCCCAGGTTCAAGTGATTCTCCTGCCTTAGCCTCCCAAGTAGCTGGGATTACAGGCTCCTGCCACTGTGCCTAGCAAATATTTTGCATTTTTAGTAGAGATGAAGTTTCATCATGTTGGCGACGCTGGTCTTGAACTCCTGTCCTCAGGTGATCCACCTGCCTTGGCCCCCAAAAGTGCTGGGATTACAGGCATAAGCCACTGCTCCCGCCACCAGTGTGGTCTTCTATCCAGACCAGTAAAACTCTCAATATTAGCAATAAGCCTGTTTTGCTCCCTTATCATTTGTGTCTTCACTGCAATAGCACTTTTGATTTCCTTCAAGAACTTTTTCCTTGCATTTATAAATTGGCTTTTGGTACAAGAGGCCTAACTTTGGGTCCATTTCAGCTTTTGACATACCTTCCTCACTAAGCTTAGGGCTTTTGATTTAAAGTAGGAGATGTGTAACTTTTCCTTTCACTTGAACACTTAGAGGGCGTCATAGGGGTTTTAGTCAGCCTAAATTCAATATTGTTATGTCACAGAAAACATGGAGGCCCAAGGAGAGGAAGAGAGACAGGTGAATGGCTGGTTGATGGAGCAGTCAGAATACACACAACATTTATTGATTAAGTTTGTCATCTTATATGGGCATGGTTCATGGTGTCCCAAATTATTATAAAAGTTGTATCAAAGATCACTGATCACAGATCACTGTAATAGGTTAAATAATAATGAAAGAGTTGGCAATATTGTGAGAATTACCAAAATGTGACACAGAGACACGTGCTGTTAGATAAATGACACCTATACTGGGACTAAGAAGTGGGGAGAGGTGCAGGATAAATAACTACATATTGAATACAATGTACTACTCGGGTGATGCATGCACTAAAATCTTAGACTTCACCATTATACAATTCATTCATGTAACCAAAGGCCACTTGTACCCCTAAAGCTATTGAAATAAAACATATCTGTGAAATAAAATAAAGAAAAATGGCAAGACTTGCTCTATGCAGTGTTGCTACAGACATTCAATTTGTAAAAAAAAAAAAAAAGGCGGGGGGCAGGATCTGAAAACTAGAATAAGGAGAAGCAAAATAAAACAGGGTGTGCCTGCGCTTTTCATTGACATGAAAACTCTTTGGGCCTGAAATCTCTTAATTCAGATTTCTTGAAGTAATAGTATCGGTGAATTGTGTGCCCCCAAAACATGTGTTGAAATCCTAACTCCCAAAACCTCAGAATGTGACCTTTTGGGAAATAGCATTGTTGCAGATGTCATTAGTTAAGATGGGGTCATTCTGGGGTAAGGTGGCCCCTAATTTCATGTAACTGGTGCTTTATAAGAAGAGGAGAGAGAGATGCAGGGAGAAGAAAGCCATGTGACAACACAGGCGGATTGGTGTGACCTGGCTGCAAGCCAAGGAACCCCAGGGCCTGCTGTCACCAGCAGATGCTGGGGAGAGGCAAGGAAGGATTTTTACCCAGAATCTCACAGGGAGCATGG